ACACGGACACGCGAAAGGACTAGAACGCGTTTAGTTCTAGTTTAGTTGGCACAATGCTGATGCCATCCTCTCAGATATGGTGATGACAGCTGTGTGAAGGGATTACTTTTCCCCTTTTTACATATGCTTTATCATTTTCTACATTTTTATACAATTACCTTTATAGTTATTTTTTCAAAAAGTCACCCTCTCCCTTACCCCACCTTCTTCCCTCATCCTGCTGTCACACTGTGAAGCCACTGATTACATACATATGCATTTTAAGAACCGGCATAAACAGCTCGGCGAGTCACAGGACACACGCCACGTTCTCTCTGAGACCCCGGAAATGTGGGTGTTACTCCTGAGACTATAACTCTGGCAAAGTAGGAAAAAACACAAAACCGCACTTGTCAATCACCCTGCAGGTTAATTTAAGGACAAAGTGACTTAGTAGCAATTACCATTAACTTTCCCCTATGAGCTCCCCACAAGAATCAACTTCCAAAGCTTTCAGTAAGTGATTTCTGTTGCCTTGGTAAATCTGCATTTATGTAAAACACAGGTTTTATAATAAGAAACTCACTGGTTTGGGGTCCTTTAAAACAGTCAAAAGGAAGGAAAATTTCCATGCACATACCAGAAAAAATACCGAACTGAGATACTAAATACACGTATTTCCTCCAAAACAGCTGGCTGACACAATGGCCACTTCTCCCTGCACAGGGCTCCTTGTAACGTATTTCGGTTTCTCCCCCGAAGCAGACGCAGTCCATCATCCCCATTCATCTGGCTGCCAAACACCGCAAGGCGCAAAGTTTGCTCTGTTTGCTAGAACATGGCGCTGACCCCGAAGTAAGGTAACTCGACGGGGATCACTTCTAAGTGAGGAGATGCATGACTTAGGTTACCCTTCCCGGTCACGTCCGGACTCACCCATCCTTCGGTGTCATGGACTACAAAATCCTAGGTCTCGAATGAGCCCGTTTCCTTACTGACTAGATGAGAGCCTCTGAAAAACTGGCCGAAACGCAGGAATACACACCAGGCAGCCCACTGAAAGCATCCTGAGAATTAAGCGCTCAGCAATGATGCTGTGGAAAATGCGTTAAGTCCTGGTCGCAGCCCTCAAGGAGTTTAACACCCTAAGCTAGGGTGAAAAATAAGTAAACAGAAACAGACAACGGATTATCTTTTTATCACCCACCCCTAGAAAGTACGCTTCACAAAAGAGAAGCTTGTGTGGCTCCTCAACCTGTCTTCACCACCTAGACCAATGCCAGGCACTAAGTGCCCGATAAATACTACCTAGTGAAGCAACATCTTCTTGGCCCCATAACATTACAGCAAAGTAAAGCCCCAAATCCTCACTATGCTCCAGAAAAGCCCCCCAACCTGTGTGGCTCCCCCCTCACCCCTGCCCAGCTCTGCAGACCCTCGCGCTGTCCTTCCACGACTGGACATCACCAACGCGCCCCCTCCTCCACAGCGGCCCCTCGGTGCACCCTTTCCGACCCTTCCACCACAGGCCGCCCCCGTGGGCCCTCATAACTCTTAGAACTCTCCCCACAGGTAATTCTGGCCTAGCTACTGAAACACCTTTCGTGCCAGACTGTCAGGCCTGCAAGGGCAGAGACTGTTTTACCCTATCCCTCCCTAGCCTGGGGCCTTACGCTACATAAATACACGCGAACTGAAAGTCATTTCCAAATCTCAGCAGATCGGTCAGCTATTCATAATAAGCCTTCCCTTTTCTCTGCCAAATAAAGCAAGTTTGGAGGCCACCCGGAGAGACCTCAGCAGAGGGGCGCACGGGGGCCGCTGTAAAACCCTGGCTGCACCTGAGTTGGCGCAGGGAGTGAAGACCAACTGGTTTCACTAACTGGGGGCTGTGGGTCTCCAGATTCGACTCTGTCTTCTGTTCCACCTCCCCACACGCGGGGAGCAGATGCAGGGCCATGAAGAGCCACGTCGGCGGGGGTTCTGGCCCGGTTCGGCTCAGCTCTGCGGTAAGACCAGGTCACACCCAGGCCCACGGAACTCTCCCGCGTGGCTGCTAAACCACAGCACCGTGTGAGGTGCTGGGGCACAGGATTAACTAACATACAGCCTCGGAGAGGCCAGTCCCAGCAGGGGTAACAAAACTGAAACTGCTGTAGGAAGCTAGGCCCCTCCAATGCTGTGATGCACAGCACCCTGTCCCCCCAAAACGCCGTGATACCCCGAGGACTAAACGGCCATGCAGATTTCCAAACGCTTCTTCCAACTAGTTGAGGAGAATTACTTCAAATAGACATTCCCTTCTTGAGCACTAATTCTTCGTGTAGATACAATGTAGGTATTCATGGATATAGCGTAGACATTCGTTGATACAGCATAGATATTCGTGGATACAGTGTAGATACTTGTGGATATAGCGCAGACATTTGTGGGTACAGTATAATCTGTGATGAATAACTATTTTAGGGACACAAGAGGCCTTACCACACTTCACCTGATGCTGCTGCACTGGCCGATCATTTCTACCACGTGGACAAAACCGGGGAACAGAATACGAAGGATCCTGACAGACATTCAGAACGATGCCATAACATGTCTCCGCATTTTGTGCGAACACGGAGCCCAAGTCAACGCTCGGGTAGACAACAGCAACAAACACTCTCCCCTCCACCTGGCCATAACCTATGGGACCTATCCAGTGCTCTCCATTTTAGCCCAAAATGGTGCCCACATCAATGCTGTTAATGAATCCAGCATGACGCCCCTTCACACGGCTGCAGACATGCTCAACAAGGAGATGATGGAAACATTAATTGCCTGTGGAGCAGATGTTAACTGCGTCATCTCCTCCACTGGGAACACGGCCCTTAAGCTGGCGGTGTGCACGGCGTCGAGCAAAGCAGGCCGAACGCTGGCCGCGGGCGTGAACTGCATCCGTTTACTGCTAATTCACGGAGCCCAAGTGAATGCCCGGGACCACGAAGGTCAAACGGCTATCCATGAGGCGTGTTTTGGAGGCAGAGAGGCAATTATCAATCTCTTGCTCGAATTTGAAGCAAATGTCAACCTATTAACAAGAAACGGGGAGTCTCCCATCTACATGTACCTTCAGCGCGGTTCCAACATAAGGGACACGGAGCTTCTGGCCAGGCTACTTCATCGCTCTTATCCTTTGAGACTGACCAATAACCACGGAATTCTACCTGCGGGAATCATGCTGCCAGAATTCCACCTCTTAAGGGAAACCCTCATAAAGCTATCTCAAAGACCCTTATCCCTACAGGACATCTGCAAAAGGAACCTCAGGAATATTTATGGTGAGAAGTACAAAGGGCACTTGAAGCGACTTCTCCCCGCGAAGATGTGGCATTCTGTATATGGCTTTCATGACTTAGCTTACCTCCTGAAATAGCACCCCCAAGTGGCACTGGCCATGGAATTTCAGTAACTCACCGCGCGGTTTCTGGCTAAGACACATACCCGGGCAACACTGAACCCATCAGCTTGCACATCCCGGATGTACAAACCATTTGGTTCCTAAACTTTTTTCAAAAAATAAAATGATCTGCACGTTAACTTTTTTGTTCCCAAATACTCTTTTAAATACATTTTCCACAATTCAACTTTTTGTTCAAAAATAAGCCACTTAAGGGGCGCCTGGGTGGCTCAGTCGGTTAAGCGGCCGACTTCGGCTCAGGTCATGATCTCGCGGTCCGTGAGTTCGAGCCCCGCGTCGGGCTCTGGGCTGACAGCTCGGAGCCTGGAGCCTATTTCAGATTCTGTGTCTCCCTCTCTCTGACCCTTCCCCGTTCATGCTCTGTCTCTGTCTCAAAAATAAATAAACGTTAAAAAAATTAAAAAAAAAAAAAAGCCACTTAAAACTCTTCTGCCAAAGAGGTAAACGTGTTCTTTCTTGATAGCCTGTTGTGATTAAAAATCAGGATAAGCACAGATTTTTTAAACAGCAGAAAAAAATTGGCCATATTAAATTCCCTTGAAGATACACAATTATAGAAACAGATTTTACCTCTAAGGCTGCAATAACCTATGAGGATTTTTGTCCGCATTAAATACATTTAATGTGCTCAATTATATTAGTACTCCGCACACTTACTACCTGGAAAACCAGTACTAATCCTCCAGGGAGAATTTTCAAATGCCCAAAGATCACTGCCTTTAAATTCAATCTAAAGTTCGGGACCTATAGGATGATAATTTACATAAAAATAATGATAATCCTCTAGATAAATGAAAGAGGATACATAATTCCATCTAATTCAAAGAACCAATGCCACGTCCTCCCTGATACGAAATTACTGCTGCTTTCAATGACTCAGCCTCTCCACTTACCTTCAGATCTCTGTGTACAATTCCCATGTTGTGTATGTAAAACACACCTTCCACCAGTTCTTGAAAAATTTTTGTTGCAACACTGGCCATAACATAGGGACCTTCAAGTAAAAGAGGAAGTTTTATTTCTCTAATTGTCTTTTTACTCATTACATTACCATCTCAATGTTACATAGTTCTAAATACATTAAACACATTAACATCGTTCAGATTTTCAACAAAATCAACATTCCAAAATGGCTAGAAATTAGACAAGAAGGGCTCCTCAGGTGGCTCAGAAACCACCACAAACCAGCACCCTGGTGAATAGAATTGGTGTCACTAATTTCACTCAAGAGCCCCTGTAATAATTACCTTGCAAACCATTCTTCGGGCATCAGGTGGCTAGATTAAATTAGGTTTAAATCTTCTTCGACCCCTGACATCCCTCACAGCTAATAAATTTGGTGTCCTAAACCCACTGTGGATTAGAGACACTGTTACAAATAATGGAATAAAAAAACAGATACATTAGGCTAGCTTGAGGAGTGAGCTTCCATTACGTGGACGTTTGCAATGCTGCAGTTTCCAAAATTGACTAACAAATGAAAAATGAAGTATAGGGAAAAGTAAATAATTTAATTCATCTATTACCATGATGATATAACACCTAACTTTAGAGGGCGGGAAAGTTCTGTAGGACTAAAACAGAAATTGATAAAGACAAAAATCCTGGAGTTTTCCAGCTAAGCTATTTCGGTGAACATCGTAACGAGAACTTAATAGCTTTTCTGTTGTCAGCCACTGTAAACCTTAAACAGACTGCTTACTTTCAAGCACAACACGAGACAGGCTCCTTTCTCCTGGATGAGCCTACGTCGTTACGCAGCTCACCTACCCCACGCTCCCCTTTTGCACCAGCTGGCATGTACCTCAGGAAACTCAAGTCCTTAGCCCAGTGCTTGAGAAGACAGAACACTGTGTGCGTGGGTGTGTACACAAGGGTACCACTCACAAGCACCTCTACTACCAGCGCCCCTCACACCGAGGCCACGACCCCCTGTCCGCAGGGATGAAGGAGGGCTTTGGGGCTTTCACAGCCTTGGAACAACTACCTTCCTTGGGTCTGTCGGTAAGAGGTGCCCATCTCGGGCCCCAGCTAGAGGGTTCGGTGCCGCACACGGGCCCGATCCAGGGAGAACACTTTCCGTTCCCTCAGCACCGCACCCTTCACACCGACTGCTTCACTCCTCAAACCCGATCACATGGGCCGATCCACATTTCACAGGGGAGGAAACAGGCAGAGAACAGCCCCCTGACTTGACCCAAGCCTTATGGCCAGTGAGTGCTAGAGGCAGGATACAAACCGGGGTCTATTGCTTCTGGACTGTTGGGAATGGCTCCTGTAAAACTACATGCGACAGGAAGGAACGCACACGGTGCCGGAGTACTACAAAGTAAAACCTTTGTATTTTAAAGTATTTTTAGAAGAAAAATATGTATCGTGCTAGCTAGCTACATCATACACGGTCTTGCCCTGTTTTCATTGTCCTGGATGGTGGCTTACTGTCCTGGATGGTGTAAATCGGAGACATCCCATACATCATGAGGGACGCGTTACTTATTTTCCAAACGGAAGTTGAAAGATCAACAACTCCATACAGACTTTAATAAGCCATTCTTCTTGTAGAAACATCTGCGTATAGCACTACGATGCCTGTGCAGCAACGGATACAACCCAACAGGGCACTGAAAATACCCTGCCTATTCCTTGCCACGACTGAACTGAGAAAAGCGTGCCAGGTTCTGATTACACGGTAAACCAAAGAAGCGGCGAACGTCGAGTTCGCCGTCGAGTTCGAATGTTTGAGGGAGGCATTATGTTTCTGCCTTCACTGGAAGCTAATCTAAGATTCTGGGTGGGTTAAATGACCTGTATTTTAGACCAAATAAAGGGTGACAGTGTCATCAGGAGTGAACAGCAAATGATTAATACTCAGTATTTAGCTGAGGCTTTACTTAAAACCCAGTCTCTTGTGTCCCCAATTTTGGTAACGGAATATACATTAGAATCGACAAGAGAATTTTCGAATAAATACCAAAGGCCAAACCCTATCCCAATACCAATTATGTAAAAATTACTGTGTGGTCTCAGACAACAGCCTTTTTAAAAAAACAGACTTTACTTGTTAAAACAATGTTAGATCTACAGAGAAATGGAGATGATAGTATGGCTCCCACTTACCCCACACCCAGTTTCCCTTTAATAACACCTACATTAGTATGGTACATTTGTCACAATAATGCACAAATACTGATACAAGCCCACAAACTATTCAGACTTCCTTAGTTCTTACTGAATGTCCCTTCTCTGTTCCAGGACTCCGTCCAGGACACCATATTACATTTAGTTGTCATGTCTCACGAGGCTCCTCGGGTCTGTGACAGTTCCTTAGACTTTTCCTATTTATGACGACCACGACAGTTTTGAGAAGTACTGGTCAGACACTTCGTAGAACATGCTCAGACAGAGATTTGTCTGATGTTTTCTTACAACTAGATGGCATTATGGGTTTTGGGGAGAAAGACTCCAGACACACAATGCCCCTCTCATCACCCCTTCTCAAGGGCACACACTATGAATAGGAGTTTTCACTGCAGATGCTGACCTTGAACACCAGCCAAAGTCATGTTGGTCGGCTTACTCCACCTTAAAGTTATTCTTTCTCATCAACGACACCTTTTTGAAAGCTCCCTAGGTGATTCTAATGTGCGGCACAAGTTGAGAACCAGTGTGATGGTAATTTTAGAAATTACTAACCTGACGGAGTATTTCTAGAGGATATCTAACTACAGAGGAAGGAAGGGGATCTGGATCTTCAGAGAGACAAACTTTTCACCCCCTACCCTTCTGTAACGATTTCTTTAAGGGTGTAATTTTGCAAGAGTATCACAGTGTCATGTTCCAAAAAATAACACAAATATTTAAATTTCCTTGCAAAAATTCTAAAAGACCTTTTTTGCCCAAAAGCATTAACCTGAATTCTAGCGTCTTACTGCTTAGGTGTCAACAAACCACGTCTCTCTTTTTATAGACCTCCATTCTTAAAAAATGTTGAAATAAGCACCATTGTTTCTTTATGTTAAAAAGGTGATGTTTTTCCCCTAAAGCACCTGGAGGTAGTTCCCCTAAAGCACACGGAGATAGTTCCTACAGTGGAAGACCGCCCATGTCTTGATTTCCCAGCCCAATGTTTCCAGATATATACGGTACTCACATGCAGATTCGTCCACGTACTCCTGGCCCCGCTGGTTTCTCTCGACTATCCAGTCCCACAGCGAGAGCTGGCACAGCTGCATCTGGATGTGCAGCATCAGGTGGTACTGCACCTGGGGGGCGACACAGCTGGCTCCCACCTGTGCATGATTTGCTCCTATCATTCAGTCAACAGATACTCGCCTGCCTACTCTAGGCCAAGCACGGGGGCTAAGTGCTCAGGAAAGAGACGACAAGCACGTGTCTACCCAAGAAGCCCCAGGGTCTAGTGAAGGAGACAGGGAAATAAAGGAATACCGAAAACGGTGTGTCATAACCCAAGGGGGCAGGGGTAGGCCCGGTAGGAGCATGGGAGCAGCTCCTGAATGGGACACGGAGGCACGGGGGCTGAGGCTATGTGGTCTGCTCGCAACACAAACGGTTTCCAAAGCTAAGCACCATGTCAAAGAAGGGCTGTGTGGTATTCTACTCTCTGTATACCTCAAGGTATATGCACTGTGGTGGCTTCACCGGGTCCATAAACAACTTATTCAAGGAAAAGGTGAGCAAAAATTAAGCTTGCTAGAGCCCATTTAGGTGCCGAGGAAAATCCCCCAAATGTAATACAGGGAAATGAAATGGTTTTGATGAACAGTCCTTCACACGCAACTCCTTTGGATCTGGAGGACTCTGCTCAAAGTTTTGTGTTTCGTGAAAAGCACATGCACAGAGCCACATGGTCCTGGACAACGAGAATTAATTCTGCATACATACAGATGGCATACAGCTCTGTAATCCCAGCATGCGGACTGTATATAGATTCTGTTAATGTTTAAGATTTATTTTGTTTTTTTTAAACACAAATTCCCAACACCAGGGAGAGTATGCAGGAGTCTCACCGACATGTAAGTGTGACCCTAATGAGTGTCGTGAAAATGGACTTGGGGATCTCTCCTCTCCTCTCTCCTAAAGTCACGTTCCAAAATACAGAAAACCTTTATGCATAAACATATGTGTACAGCATGATGCTAACACACAACACAAAAAGTGTGAATGACGCTTCCAGCTCCAGGGGGCACAAATGAGAAGATCTAGAGAAGGCCAGAAAAGGAGTGGTAGGAGCTAACTAAGCAAAGGAGGGAAGACCCAACACAAGGGCCACAGGCGGGGGAACGTGGAGGGGAGAGGCTGACCAAAGCAGATGAAGGGCGAGAGGGGAGACGGGGGAGGGCAAGGTGAGCAGTCAGCGGGGGCAGGGAGAGGCCACAGCTAGTCACGGTCCTTGACATAATTGCTATGGCTGAGCATCAAGGTTCTGGGAAAGTTACCTACCTCCGTCTGCCCCAACAAACTTAAGTTTTCCGAAGATTCCTCAGTGGATGCGAAATTCTCTTCTAAGTCGGAATGATGCCTAAGTGGCAGCTGATGTTCGA